TGTGCTGTGGTGAGTGCTGTGAATTGTGCAAGACTGTTGAATCACAGATCTGTACTTCTGAAACAAATAATGCAAGATATGTTAAGGAAAAAGAAAAAGAAGATCGCAGGAGGGGAAGAATGAAGGGGAGTAAGTCGGAGGGGGAGATGAACCATTAGAGACGATGGACTCTGAAAAACAAACTGAGGGTTCTAGAGGGGAGGAGGGTGGGGGGATGGGTTAGCCTGGTGATGGGTATTAAGGAGGGCACGTTCTGCGTGGAGCACTGGGTGTTATGCACAAACAATGAATCATGGAACACTACATCAAGAACTAATGATGTAATGTATGGTGATTAACATAACTAAAAAAATTTTTAAAAAGATTCCATTGTATATATATACACCATATTTTCTTTATCCACTCATCTGTTGATGGACATCTAGGCTCTTTCCATAGTTGGGCTATTGTGGACATCGCTCCTATAAACATTGGGATGGACATGTCCCTTTGGATCACAACATTTGTATCTTTGGGGTAAATACCTAGTACTGCAATTGCTGGATCGTAGGGTAGCTCTATTTTTAACTTTTCAAGGAACCTCCATACTGTTTTCCAGAGTGGCTGCACCAGCCTGCATTCCCACCAGCAGTGTAGGAGGGTTCCCCTTTCTCCACAACCTCTCCAACATCTGTCATTTCCTGACTTATTAATTTTAGCCATTCTGTCCAGTGTGAAGTGATATCTCATTGTGGTTTTGATTTGTATTTCCCTGATTCTGAGTGATGTTGAGCATTTTTTCATGTGTCAGCCATTTGTGCCTCCTCTTTGGAGAAATGTTTGTACATGTCTTCTCCCCATTTCTTAACTGGATTATTTGTTCTTTGGGTGTTGACTTTGATAAGTTCTTTTTTTTTTAAGATTTTTATTTATTTGAGAGAGAGAGACATAGCGAGAGAGGGAACACAAGCAGGGAGAGTGGGAGAGGGAGAAGCAGGCTTCCCGCAGAGCAGGGAGCCCGATGCGGGGCTCGATCCCAGGACCCTGGGATGACCTGAGCTGAAGACAAGATGCCCAATGACTGAGCCACCCAGGCACCCTAATAAATTCTTTATAGATTTTGGATACTAGCCCTTTATCTGATATTTGCAAATATCTTCTCCCATAGAATGGTGCATTTTTCCAGTCTTACATCAATTTCTCTTTTAAAAAAGATTTATCTAGGGCGCCTGGGTGGCTCAGTTGGTTGAGCGGCTGCCTTCGGCTCAGGTCATGATCCTGGCTGGAGTCCCGGGATCGAGTCCCACATCGGGCTCCCTGCTCGGCAGGGAGTCTGCATCTCCCTCTGACCCTCCCGCCTCTCATGTGTTCGCTCTCTCTCTCTCTCATTCTTTCTCTCAAATAAATAAATAAAATCTTTAAAAAAAACATTTATCTATTTGAGAAAGAGAGGATGTGCGCACTTTTTCGCAAGTTGGGGAAGGGGCAGAGGGAGAGAATCCCAAGCAGACTCCCCACTGGGTGCAGAGCCCGGTGTCCCATGTGGGACTCAATCTCACAATCCTGAGATCGTGACCTGAGCTGAAGCCAATAGTCCCACACTTAACGGACTGAGCCAGCCAGGCACCCCTAGTCTTACACCAATTTCATTCCCAATGTCTCCTGAGAGGCATGTACCATACACAGGAATCTATCTTCCTCCTCATTTTCACAGTTTAGAAATGGGCGTGGACATGTCGCATCTATTCCCCGATGGGGAGAAGGCTTGATTAGTATTGAGCTGTAAGCATCTTCTGATTATCCTGATGAATTCACTCGTGCCGATGCAACTGGGTACAAGGAGCTTGGCTTGGTCCAGACAGGAAGGTGCTTCTCATCCCAGTATGGCTCCCTCATCACCTGCATGGCGTGGGGGCTGGGCAGAGGGTCGAGGTGGCTTCTGCTCCCCCAATAGCGGCCCCCCTTGTGTCATCTTAGGTGTTTTTCCAACACTAAGCTTAAGTTTTAACCAATTGTTTCAGGAATGAATGTGAAACACGAGAAATGGTTTAATTTGAAAGTCTTCCCCTAATTAATGAAACCTAATTTCATTTCTGTTTAAAAGGGGGAATAAGAGGGATTATTTTGGAAAGACAGAACGTGGAACTGCAGCACCGTGTTGGACACCAGGGCCACGTGCCACCGGCGGGGCGAGCACACTTCGGGAGCTTCTCTCCTGAAAATCCGTTACAAAAACTCCGCCTTTCCTGTCCCGACGGGCGACCCGAGCTCGTACGCTGGGTCGCCGGCAGCGGCTACTCGCCGTAAGGCGGCCCGGCGGAAAGCACCTGGCGGACGCGCAGGTGGCGGGCACACGACTGGGCCACTACCACGAGCGAGGGCCGCTGTCTCGGGGGACCGCCTCCCGGGAGCCCAGCCACCCCCACAGCGGCGCCCCTCGCCAGTCCCCAGCCTCCCCACCCCCGGGGGCGCCCCGGAGCCCCGCGCGCCCGCGCCCACGCCCGCTTTCCCGGCCGCGAGTTCAAGCAGGAAACCGCCCAGCCGGGCTTCCCGCTGATTGGCTGAACGAGAGAAAGGCCAGAGATGATTGGTCGGGCCGGACGCCTCTCCGCGCGCACGCCGCGGCCGCGCCTTCCCCGCCGCCACTGTCTGGTGGGCGCACGCGATTGGAGCAGACGCGTCGGCTCGCCCCGCCCCGCCCCGCCCCCGCCGGAGGGCGCGACGTCACTACCCGGCGTGCCGCGCGCGGCGCTTCCCCCACCCGCTAATGTTTTGGCCGATTCAAGATGGCGGTGCAGGAGTCAGCTGCTCAGCTCTCCATGACCCTGAAGGTGCAGGAGTACCCGACCCTCAAGGTGGGGTCTGAGGGCCGGGCGAGCGGCCGCGCTTGGCTGGTGCCCGCGGACCGCGGGGGGTCGGAGGGGAGCGAGGAGGGTCAGGGTGGGGGCCGGGGCGCGGCCTGGGGCACCGGGCGGGGTCTGGGGGGGGTCTGCGGGGCCGGGCTTCGGAGCTCTGGGGCGCTCCGCGGAGCCAGGCTCCCGGGTTCCCCGGGGTCTGGGGGTCGGCAGGGCCGCGCTCCCCAAGATCCGAGGGTCTGCAGGGCCTTGTTCTCCAAGGTCCGGGGGTCTGAAGGGCCGGCCTCCCTGGGGTCTGGGGGGCCTGTGAGGCCGGCCCCCCGGGCTTCCCGGCGGCGGCGGCGTCTGGCGGGCCGGGCTTTCTGGGATCTGGGGTCCTTCAGGCCGGGCGGGTGTGGCGTGGGGCCGTCCATTGCCTGCCCGGCCTTCGAGGACTTCGTGGCAGGGCGTGGAGCGCGTCTGTCTGGCGCCCCGCTTCGCCCTCCGGAGCCCGACTGTAGCCCCTTCGTGCTAGAATAAAAAGGAAGGAAGGAAGGAAAAAAACCGTGAGCTGCCCCAGTGACATTTTGCGGTAGGCAGGCTGGTGACTTTGGGGGCTGGGATGGAGACCGGGGTTTCCAGGGTGTGGGGTCGCGGCCGCCCAGCAAGAGTGCCCGACGGTTGGTGTCCGGCTGTCCTCCCGGAAGCCTAACGTCAGAAGGTGTTGACGTGTTGCCTTCCAGTCTCTAATTAGGGAACCTGTAAAGAGAGACCTAACGACCTAATGGGCACCCATCTTGGGCGTCACCAAACCTGAAATACAGCCCTTGCCACTCGGCTGCCAGTTGCGTGACCTTGGATGGCCACTTAGCCAAGTCGTCTTCCGTGAGCGTGAAGTCCGTGTCTCTAGTGGGAGGGGCCGCACTTGCTCTTTACCTAGTTCGCGGAGAATTTGATGGTGACGAGAACAAAGCACCTGGAGACAAGTTCCTTAGGAGATCAAGGTCATAACGTTCCCAGGAGAACCGTGGCCGGGCATTTGTGATTCTGAACGCCTTCCCTGAGAGGCCAGGTAGCTTTTCTCTCCTCCTGGAAGACCCCTGCATCCCCATCCACCTCAGTGGTGACAGGGGGTGGTGGGTGCAGCGTGGTGGGTTCGAATAACTGCGCCACTGTGTTCATCACTGACGGGAAGACCTCAGGCGGGGTACTTACCTGCTCTGAGATTGCTGACTTTGTCACACGTGGGTAATGATAGCTCCAGGGCCACCCCGGGTGAATCGGGGGACTCCATGCTGCCTGGAGTAGTCGTCAGTACTCGAGTCAGACTGCCCTGTGCAGTCCTCGCCCGAAAGCAGAAGCGAGGCTTTGTTGCTTTTCATTGACTAGCGGTGGAGCAGTGCTGTTTCCCCGCACCTTGTTTGATCAGGGAGGACAGGCGAGCGCTGCCACCCGTGCCGGATGCCTGTTGTCCAGGCCCTTTTAGGGTTAGGTGGTGGGTGTTTTTGTATTCAACTCCTTGAAGACCCTGTGGCTCAGAAAAACCATGACATCACCCCACCTGAGGCCCCCAGCGAAACATCATTTGGGTTGATGTTTATCCCTCCTTCCCCCACCAAACAAATAAATAAGTAAATGAGGCTTTCGTGGGGGAGCCATTAATTGCTGGGCTGTTGTCTTACTCAGCCTACCCCCAGGCCTGCCGTTGGAACTGACAGAACTGTGGCAGTTTATCATGTTTGGGACTGGCTGGTGAGCATGGGCAACAGCAGACAGGAAGGGATTCCCCCTCCAGGTTCTCTTCTGTGGTTGTATAATCCTGACTGTGATTGATTTCCAGACTTATTAAATAGCCTTTGATTAAAAATAGTCCTGCAGATACTTATACAGGTAAAGAGGTATTATAGTGTCATTTCACCTGAGCTTCCCTGTTAAAAGGAGTTTTACTTCTGCTTTAGAATGATTTAAATGAATTTTTGAAATCAGAGAAGTTACTTCCATCATTTTCCCTCACAGATTGTCTGGATCACCTGTAATCCATCAACGTGTGTCATTGTTGAGAGTTGACATTTTTTTCTAGATGTTTTCAGGAGTGATTCCTACTGGATAATGTGGAAGTTTCACTGGGAAACTAGGGACCCTTGACTGAGGAGCATAAGTTAATACAGAATTCCCCAGAGGGCGCCTGGGTGGCTCAGTTGGCTGAGCGACTGCCTTCGGCTCAGGTCATGATCCCAGGCTCCTGGGATCGAGTCCCGCATCGGGCTCCCTGCTCAGCAGGGAGTCTGCTTCTCCCTCTGACCCTCCCCCCTCTCATGCTCTCTCTCTCTATCTCATTCTCTCTCTCAAATAAATAAAATCTTTAAAAAAAAAAATACAGAATTCCCCAGAACACTTAGGAGCTGTGCTGGTCATGGTCTTGAGCACGGTCCAGATGCAGATGCCCCAGGGCGGCAGGAGCACTGTGCAGACAGCAGGGAGAGGGGAGTGAGGGTCAAGGGGCTGGAGTTCTGAAAGGTGTATGCAGGGTACCAGGAGCCGAGTGCTCCTTGCTTTCTTGACAGGCAGTTCCTCCTCAGACTTAATAGAGATTCCTTGCTATTCAGAGGATTGGCAAATCCAGCCACGTTCCTCACAGCCCCAGGGCTGGTCGACACTGGTCTTGCCTCCTGGTGCAGCGGGAAGAGAATGGCGTGGCCGTGACCTATGCAGTCTGCATGCGTTGAGCTGGACACCCTCTCCTCACTGAGCCCTCAGTCCTGGGGGGAGCTGGGCCAGCACAGGCCTCTCAATGGCCTGTGGACCTTCGGGGTGGGTGGTTCTTTGTAGTGGGGGTTGTGCATTATAGGATGTTTAGCGGTACCCCTGGCTTCTGTCCATCCCCAAAATGTCTCCAGACATTGCCAGATGTCCCCTGGGGGGCAAAATCGCCCTGGTAGGGAGAACCACTGGACTGGATTTTGCTTTGTGGAACTTGTTTTTATGTTCTTACAACAGCAGGGAGAGTGGGGTTCGTGGGACACACTTTTGTGTTCTGGGCCTGGCTGTGAGTCTTTTCCTGTGAGCTCCTTGAACTGGAGGCCCATTTTCATTATGCTTTTAAAAGGGTTCTCTTGGGGGGCGCCTGGGTGGCTCAGTCAGTGAAGCGTCTGCCTTCTGCTCAGGTCATGAACTCGGGGTCCTGGGACTGAGTTCAGCATCGGGCTCCCCGCTCAGCAGGGAGTCTGCTTCTCCCTCCCCTGCTCCCCCTGCTCGTGCTCACTCGCTCTCAAATAAAATCTTCAAAAAAAAAAAAAAGGTTCTCTTATAAAAGTAACTTGTGTTTACTTTCCAAATTATTCTGCTAATCATCCTGTTAATATTTTGGTGTGTTGACTTCTGTTTTTTCCCCTCAGAGAACTGAAGTAAAATAGTATTTTAGAGGCCTTCTTTACCGCTACCCAAATCAAGTGGGGGTCTTCACAGCCCAGGAGAAAGGCTGTGGCACTGGTCCCTGGGCTACCTGGCTCTGGACCCCCTGGCCCCTCACCTTGAGTCTCACCTGTGCGTCTCGGTGTCCCTGCCTGACCCGGCTCAGCCCGGTCCCAGCTGCTCTCTCTCCTTCACACGTGACAGGCTGGGGGGAGGGGTGGGCGTGGGGCACTGCTCCCTGCTGGGTCTGTGGGCGTCTTCTGTCTCTGAGTTCTCTAGAGGGCTGTTGAAATGCTCTGCTTTTAGTTTGGTGACAGTCCTGACCAAACCCTGCTCTGCAGTTTCTGAGCCTGGGTTTGTGCCTGTTGTAGAGTCTGGGTGCCAGTTATGTGCCTAAAGTTAGGACTTTTCCAGCTTGGTCTTGGCTGGATTTAGGGGCTCGTGTGTTCTCAAGTTTGAGAAACAGTGGTAAGCGTGAGCGTTTGGTCTTAAGAGACAAAATCCTAGGTAAGCTGCGTCCGGAGGGTGGCAGTAGGCTGGGTCCTCACTTTTTTTTACTTTAGATTTTTTGGTTTAGAGAGTGAGCCGTTTCCTGTCTCAGAGGTGGTTGTGTCGCTGGAAGGACGCTGACTCTCTCTGGCTTGGGGCAGGCATCTGTGTGACACCCTTCCTCCTCTCAGGCTCCAACCTTGTCAGACCTCCAGAGCACCGTCTGCTCGTACCCGAGAGAGCCCCAGGCTGCCTCTGCCTTCCGGAGTCCCGCCAAAGCCAGAGCACGGCTGCAGTGCTGTCTTCTTACCCTATGCATACTCCTGAGCTCCTCCCGTCTCTCGCGCCTCTGCTCGGACACTTGGCCACAGACGAGACACTGGGGTGGTGTGGGCCTTCGGGGACAGGTGCAGGTCCACGTCGGGGTGAGTGCCCTGCTCACTGCAGGCTGTTTGTGTTACTTTAAACAAGCTTCATGCCAGGAGAGGAAGGGCTTCCCAGTGCCCCATTCTCCGTAGCGGTGGGGTGTGCTAGAGCCAATTCGAACCCCGGCCAAGCAGCTTCAGCAATAGGCAGGGGCAGCTGTGCAACAGATGCTCAGCTTTAGGTCTGAAGGTGGGGCTTGCTGTTGCTTCTCCCTCACAGAACCACCGTGAGGCACCCCGGAGCCGAGGTGCCAGACCCTGAAGGCCTTGTGCTCCTTGCTGCTCTCGAAGAACCTCTGCACGCTCACTGGGCACTGCTGGTGACACTGGGGTGTCACAGAGAAAAAGACAAGTGAGGTCCCCGTCCTGGTGCCACTAGGCTTGGCAGGAGGGAGGCCGTTAAACAAGTGGATGCAAACATTTCCAATCCTTGAACGAGTAGAGTCAGGCACGGGTGGGGCAGTGGCCCACGGGGGGTGCAGTGGTCTTCAGTGGGCAGCCAGGGCACTTGCACGTTGGGGGAAAGCTCTGTGGGCTGTGTTGAAGTCTTGGCAGACCCTAGCACCGTCAGCACATGGTCCCATTGGAGCAATAGGGCTCAGGGTGTTCCCAGAGCCACACAGAGGCCATGACAGTGGGGCCCCGAGGGCCTGGACCTCGCCATGGACTGTGTATGCAGGCCAGCAGGAGTGGAGAGCAAGCTGGGAGGAGGCCGGCTGCTGTGTGCAGCATGTGCCCCCCTCAGTGGGGCCGCTCGGTGTGGACCGAAACACGGCAGAGCAGTCTGCCAGGGGCGCCTGTTGGTCTTTTTAGGAGTACGTTGTTTTAGAATATTTATCCCTGGGGACGGTAGTTTGAAAGCTTTCTGAAAAAAAGATTTATTCACTGTTTCAGTAATAACTAAGTGATAGAAACTAGGCATTATTAAATAGTTTAACAACCCAACTAACTCTTCGGCTGAATGCGGCTAATGGAGAAAAACACCCACCTGTGCTGACGGTCTCACTGGCCGTCACCTCCTGACTGTGAACCCTGAGTGCTGCACGGCCCCCACTCCCTGTACGCGGCTCCTGCCACGTGGCCCCAGCCTGGCCTCGTCACCCACTTTTCGCTCGTGGCAGGTACCGCCCTGCTCGGGTCTGCTTGTACCTTGTGGGGGAGCTGCCCCACCGGGGCCAGCTGTGCCCCGAGCCTGCCCCTCTGGCCTGTGGCCCCAGCACTTGCATCTCTCCCCTCCTGTCTCAGTTTCCCCTTCTCACTGGGTCCCATCAGCACGCACATGGCTCTCATCGCCCCACGTGTCCTCCTCCAGCTGCGGCCTCCTTTTCCTGCCCCTCCTCCCGTGTATCTCTCCGGGTTCAGGTCAGAAGTTTTGCCCCTAACATTCCATGAACATGTTTTTGTCACAGCTGACTTGACGCCGCTACGTGGCCAGTTGCCGGGCAGTCGCCTCCTTCACTTGCCCCCCCCCCGCCCCCCGCCCCGGCGCCGTTCTCTTGCTTCCTCGGGGCTCGTCTTCTGCAGATGCCTTTGCCGTTACTGTGCATCCTCCAGCCTGGGGGTCGTTGAGTCATCTGGCAGCAGGCAGCCCTCGAGAGAGGTCTCTGTGCTCTGTCTCCAACTCCTGCCTCCAGCCAGGCCCCACCCTAAACTCCCACGTGGATCGTCGGCCACCTGCTCGGTCTCCTCACTCATCTGAGTGGGGCTCGGAAGGTACCACGTGCAAAACCCAGCAGTGCCTGATCTCGGCCTCCCTGCCCTGGACTCATGCTCCTTGGCATGCAGCCAGCCCATCCCAGGTGAAGACAGTGTCCTCCTGCCCCTTGTGCAGGGTTTGGTAAAAAAAAAAACAAACCAACCCTGGGGGTGTTCCTGATGCCTGTGTTTGCTGTGATCTTTCTGGGATCCGTGATCCCCTTGTTGGTCTGCATTGACCGCAGGGCTCCAGTCTGCTTGCGGGCAGCTGGCACGGGAGGGGAAGGTGCCGGCTCCCTCATGGGGCCTCCCAGAAGTGCTGTTCAGCATTTATGCTTGAGCTCAGAGGCCAGAACTTGCGGTTGGCTGTCTCTAGCTTCAAAGGGACCCGAAGACAAAAACAGCCTGGTGGTGGGCTTATTGCTGCCCTAGCCCTGAATGAAGTTGGGGTTTGTGGCTCCTGTTCTGTGTCCCTTTCTCTGGTTTATTTTCTTTACAGCTTTGATCACAGTCTGACAGAACTGCCTCCAGTCTGCCTGCTTTTCTGTCAGAGGCCCTCATTACAATATGCGCTTCTCAGGGCAAGAGGGTGTGTTTTGCTCCATCACTCCCTGGCTTTGGCCAGGCCTCCAGGGATCCTGACGGTGTCCTGCAGTGAGCACCCACTGACGGCCCCTCCTCCCTGTTTGGCCCCCAGGCTCGCCACCCTGGCCGGGTTCCTCCCCCGCTCACAGCCGCCCCTCCACCTCTGTGTGACCACCCACCGTGCTGGTGACCTCATGTGGTCTCCTATGCTCTGAGGGTACCAGTGACTCCCAGAGGGCTAGTCCCCAGTCCCAGAGCCCAGGATCCAGTGGCTGTACTTGGATCTCTGTAGGTAGCTCAGCGTATGTAGACCTGAACTTCTTAACTTACCTGTCTCCTCCCCAGACCTACTCCCCATCTTCCTTGGCTCAGGTTAAAGCCTTGAGCACTCTGTCCTCGCAGCTTGTGTCCATATGTCCTTCTGCTCTGGCTCCAACATGGATTCAGGATTTGACTGCATCTTACCTTCTTTCCTCCTGCCACCATGGCCGAAACCATCTCTGGGTTGAAGTAGCCTCCTACCTAGTCGCGGCTCTACCCATGCCCAGCAGAGCCGCCACACTGCTGTACCAGACAACGCCATTCTCCTGTTCTGGTAGCTTCCTGTGCGACTTGGGGTACAGAGCGAGGTTGTTAGAGTAGCTCTGCAGGCCCTGTGCCTTCACCTCTGCCTTCTCCTCCCCACCCTCCTCCTCCAGCTCTGCTCCCCTTGGGCACTCAGCCGTCGGTCTCCCTGCTGCTAGAAGATGAGCTGGCACGGGGGCCTCCGGGCCTTGGTGCTTGTTTACTTTGCCTGGAACCCTCTTCCTTCAGGTACCCATCTTATTCCCTCACCTTCTTGGAGCTCTGCTCAGGTGTCACCTTCTTAGCGAAATCACCTTTAAACTGGGAGCCCCACCATCTCCCTCTTCTCGGTTTTCCTCCCCAGCTGTTACTGTCATACTCCATTTTGCTTCTTTGTTTCTAACCCCTGGGCTTGTAAGTTTTGTGGAGGGCAGAGAAGAAGTATTTCTTCAGTTAACGAATGAACTATTAAATATTATTTTGGCAATTCTATCCAAAGAAGTAAAAATTGAAACAGAAGTAAACGTAACTTCAAATGGATGAGACGTAATATGTTATGTACCCAGAGAACACAAACAAGCTAATTGGAAAATTACTACAGTTAACGAGAAAGTCTGTGTCAGCAATAACCAGTTAAAGCACCTCATGGGAAAATCCCCATTCGCAGTAACCTAACAGCAACAGAAATAAAATGTCAGGGTGTGCTTTACTGGCTCTGGTGACGGATACTGAAGGAGACACAACGTGGTTTCTTAGTAGAGGCCTAGGGAAGACCAGTCACAGCAGAGAGTGTTGCGTCTGTTTGAACAGACTGATGATTGAAGGTACCATCTCACCTTTTTGTGCTGGATCCCATATTTCTTACTTGTAATCAGGGAAGCACCCAGCAGGGTGGGACCTGATGCCAGAGGCAGGTGTGAACCTTGTTGCACGACTTCTGCTTCCAGTCACACCTCGTAGCTAAATAGCAAGGGAGCCTGCTTGGCTAGTGTTACGAACACACGTCTGTATGGTGCCATTTGTGGTTGGTCAGTGAGCCCGTCCCGGGGGATGGAGGGCACTTGAGCAGGTGTCGGTGGCTGGTACTCCGCTGCATTGCAGCTCATATTGATTTGCTCATACCTACCTTCCTAAAACGGACCAGTGGCACAAGAAGATTTCTGCAGGTACCCGGCGGCTGGCTGGTGAGACGGTCCTGCACTCTGAGAGGAGAGAGCATGGAGGTGCTGGCAGCGCTCTTCCCGCCTTGAGCTCTGTCAGCCGCACTGTGAACGGTCTTTCCCCTCAGAGCCCCCTCGAAGCTGACCAGAAGTGTCATTTTCTTTAAGAAGCCTATCTGAAACTGGATGCGCCTCCCCCAGGGTGTGTGCTGTGCTTGGGAGACGAGCCCGGGGAAGTAGGAAGCCATTGGGATTTGGGAGACTGAGCCATGCCATACAAGAACATGAGGCAGAGCTCCATCTAACACTTCAGAAGATGTTCCTAGCTTTGTGATGAATAGTGAGAAACCTCTTCTGAGGCTTCTTCATTGTGAAAGATAAAAAGTCCCATGACATTGGGGAAGTACTTCCTTCCAGTGCTGGTAGAAATGGCTGAAAACATGATGACAAACTAAGATGCATTTCTTTGTCAGCAAATACTGTCAGAAAACCCACAGCAAACGTTGGAGAAGGTTTGAAGAAACTAAAGCAAATGACACAGTGTAGGAGGATTGCCATAGAGCTGGGTGAAGGTACAGATGTTTTCTACAAATCTTAACTTATGGTGTTTGCCAGATTCTGTTTCAATTATGAAAACAGGAAGGATTACTTTTTATGAGTCACTGAAGGGGAAAGATGTACTGAAGGAAATATAATTTAACATCAGCTAACAAAACAGAGAAATCCTGTGATCTTAAAAGCTAACAATGCAACAAATTACCAAGGAAAAATTGAGTGGATTTGATTAATACATATTTAAATCTTTGGTATACTCAGATAAAATAGAACCAGAATTTAAAAGCAAATAACGATTTTAAAAAGCCACCAAATATGAACCATAAAGAGCTGATTCACATTGATGAGAAAGGTCCAAGACCTCTTTTCCTTATTGAGTTTTAGACAAGGAGCGCAAAGGGAAAATGTGTTGGATTGAACCATGTAAAATTGCTATTTTGT